TTTTTTATATGTATGCATGTATTGCCTGCATGTAGGTTAAGTGCACCTGCATCGTGCAATGCCCACGGAGGAGAGAAGCCGTTGGATCCCCTGGAACTAGAGTTATACACAGTTGTTAGTGCCATGTTGGTGTTGGGATTCGAACCCGGGTCTTCTGCAAGAACCAGTGTTCTTAACTGCTGAGCCATCTCTCCATTTTTAAATTCACCTTTATGGGAGAAAAAAATCCTGTCCTAACCCAAACCACTGGTTTCAGTAGGTGCGTGTGCACGCAGGCACAGGTTGGGGGGAAGGGGGAGTGACTAAGATTCTGTTCTAAACCCCAAGGTGACAAAGCACCACCAGGTCAGGTGAGGTAAGCCCTGACTCACTACACCCTGGGACGGTGCTACTGCCAACTTCCTCCTGCCCATTCCAGTCCAGTGAAGTAGCATGCCCCAGAGAAACACTGGTCACACTGGCTTCGCCAGGGGCCTGGAGATGGGCAGGCAAGCTGCCCAGCAGAGATCTCTGGCACTGACAGCTACCCTCACCCTCAAGGCTGGCCTGAGCCCAAATCCATCGACTACCTGCTCGGCCAACCTTGAAAGGGGACAAAGCAACATTCTCTCTACAGAATATACCAGAGGCCCCTGGATGGTGGTTCTCTAGTGGTGGAGTTTGAAGTATGCTGGCACCACTCTATCTAGTTTTCTGGGGTACAGCATGAGCAAAGCTGATTCTAATATGCAGGCAAGGTCAAAACCATTAAATTGGAGGGAAGTGGGTACAGGGAAAGATGGAGGCTAGAAAGTGGTACAGAATCCAAGAAAGCCCTGGGTGCCCAAGAAAGGAACTTAGCCAGGCAGATGAGGATGCTCACATCTGTCAGGTGATATCCAAATGTCTGCCTCATTCAGACATCTTCAGCCCAACAGGAAACAGGGCAACTAGGTGCAAAGCTGGGATTTTCCTTCACACCTCACCAACTACAAATCCTTGCTTGTAAACACCCTCATACCTTTACTCTTGACAAGGGCTCCAGAACAGGAAAAATACATTTTGTGAAAACCTAGACTTTTTCAAGCTCCTTTTCAAACTAGTCACTCACCCAGGCAACTTCCATACCTACCCCTCTGCTGGATGCTGACGTCCAGGGCCCTCATGCTGGTGAAATCACTGTGGCCTTGCACAGTGTGTTCAGTAGTGAAGTACCAAGAAACTACAGAATGCATCATCCAGAAGGGTGAGCAGGCGCTGCTGAGGCTTGCTGGTCAGTACACTGTGTGCACTCACAGGCACATGTTCTCAACGGTCTTGTCAGGAGAGGTATTTATTGTAGATCATGGTCCAAATGATGTGAGACATCCAGATGGGCAAGAGGCAAGCCTTCGTGTACCCACTGTAACTGTGCAGACCCACATGGTTCTATGCAATGTTCGCCTTAAGAAACATTTGACAGTTACAAAATTCTAGTGCACCTTGAAATTCAAGGACCAATGTGGTCCCAAGGCTCATCACAGAGAAGGGGCTATTTCAGAGCACCCATTTCTTTCCTCCACACTCCAGGAGTTTGACAAAGGATCCCCTAGCACCAGGATTTCAGCCCTGGCATCTCCATCCTAGGGACAGGCAGTAATGGTCCAACACTCACCTCTAAGTTCAGTTACAGTGGTACATTCCTGGGCCTCCAGGGGCTGAGATAGCCCAAGTGCCCTCCAAGACTTTCTTCATGTATCAGGCTGCAAAACACCACTGTGAGCCTGCAGATCCCTCCTTGCTGATACTGGAACTCTCCCCAGCAGTTCGAGAATGATCCAAGTCTACCATTTCCTGTGCCCACCAGACCTCGAACACAGGAATGCCACAGCCCTGAAGAGCTAAAGTCGTAGTTCTGTGAACTGTCCACACATCTGGCAGTACACAAACACACATAGCACTCAGAAGTCCCCCCCACCTGGGTCAGAACAGCTCCCCTGCTGAGGATGAAATTCAAAGAAAGTCAGGCAGGCCTGTACCAGCTCACCCCTGGCAGCTTCCTGTCAGTCACCCAGCTTCAACCTGAAAAATGCTTCACTCAACATGTGGGCAAGTCTTTGTCCTGAAGTGTAACTGCTGCATAGCGCACATGTTTGCTGCTCCCCTCAACCCCTTTTCAACCACTGCTAGGATACAATAAAGGCAACTTTCAAGCTAGAGCTTGAGCTGAGGACTTAAGGATGTAACTCGGTGATAGAGCACATAACTAGCATGTGTTAAGGCTCTGGGCTCAATCCCCAGTACTGAAAGGAGAAAAAGTTACCAGTTTCCAGTCTTTTCACAATGTCCTTTGTCTATGAATTGCTTACTCAACACTCACTCCTACAAAAACATCAGGCAATCGGCATATTTCAATGTTCACATACATGAATGATGTGGTAATTCATGCCTGTAATCCCATCGCCATCAGTGAGGCCGAGGCAGGAGGATTACCTAGGGTTCCAGCCCATCCTGGAATGAGATTCTGTCTCAAAAATAGTTTAGAAAGCTACTCTTCAAATCTATTTTGTTTTATCTCTGGGGAGTGTGAAGGCATAAGATGAGTCAAAGGGCCTTTAGACTAATATCTCAAATTTTAATTCTTTGCATTAAGTGTATGTTTATTTTTCAATGGTTCACTGAAATCAAAAGCCCACTAAAAAAACTATCAATGCTACTCAAGAGTTCTCAAGGGTTCACTCAACCAGTGGAAGATTATGAACTTCGATGTTAAAGCTTACACTTTTTTTTTAATGTGTTTAGCCTGTATGTATGTAAGTGCATCACATGCACGCACACCCCCAGGGAGGCCAGGAGAGGGTGCCAGGTCCCTGGAACTGAAGTTACTGACCAGTGTTAGCTGCCATGTGGGAACTGAATAGTAACCAAATCCAGGTCTTCTGGAAGAGCAGTCAGTGCTCTTGATCACCGAGTCATCTCTCCTGCCCCAAATGTTTCCAACTTTAAAGGAATTCTAAACATTAAGGATCACATGTTTTTTTCCAACCTTGTTTCAGAGATGATGAAACTGGGCCAGGAGGGAACAAACTTAAACCCCACACCTAGAGGTAGGCCAGCATTAGTTAAAATCCATGCATCATCAAGCAAATCTGCTTCCTTCATAAGAGAGGCCAAATTAAAACTCCAACATCAGGGGCTGATGAAATGGCTCAGCAGTTAAGAGCACTGACTGCTCTTACAGAAAACCCAGGTTCAGTTCCCAGTGCCCACAAAGTGGCTAACAACTGTCTATAATTCCAGTTTCATAGGATACAACACCCTCTTCTGGCACCTGCAGGCACTGCACGATACAGGTACACTTACATACATGCAGGCAAAAAACTTCCAAGATCGCTTCTGCCTGCAACAAGTGCAGCTTCCCAACACTGGGGAAATATAGGCACTAAGACCATGACAGTGCAAGAATTAACCAGTTCCTTGCAGAAGATACTTTACCAAAACCTGTCAATACCTCAAATATGAATTCATTTGAACTAGCAATTTCCTTTTTGTGGTTGGTTTTGCTTTTCTTAGGACAGGGTTTCACTTTGTAGCACAAGATACCTAAAACTCAACAAATGGAGACCAGGCTGTCCTCAAACTCATGTTGATCCTCTAGCCTTAGACCCCCAAGTGCTAAGATTACAGGTGAGTCTGTACGTGGCCTGAATGAGTGATTTCATCTGTAGAAAGTTACCTTATGAAACTTCGATTGGAAAACTCACTGTTGCACGATGACTAATTATGAAAAGCTGGGACCTGCATAAAGTATTCAGTCCAAAAATTTCAGCATATTCTGGTGGGAAAAGATCTACATATAGTGTAAGCTGTGTGGCTGGAATATAAACTAAGCAGGCCTCCAGAAACTTGGAAGAGCGTCAATGAAACTTCCAAGTTTTGCTGAAGGACTCAACACCCATACCGGAGTTTCAAACTCTACTTGATATTATAAGCTGCTGTCCACTAATTTCAAAAAGAATGAGCAGATCCCATCATAGAAAGTAAAACCCCAACCTTGCCACATGAAGCATGCCAGCCAAAGTGTGACATATGCCTCAGTGTTCAGGCCTACTGCTCTCTCACATCATGCTCCCACGTAAAAATCACACACAACTATTCCAGATTGCAGTCTGGAAGCTCACCTGAACCACCAAAGTTGGGACAACTTTCAGAAAAGTAGGGAGCGGGTACAATACAGATGTCCAGAACCTTCTTTGTTTTCAGAACTTCCTTTAACTAAACAGATGAATATTGTTTAATTTAAACAGGATTCCCTATGGCTCAATTCCAAACAAAATTTGCTCTGAAGATTCCCAAACTCACCTTGACTATGATCTCAGTAATTCATCTAATGAAGTACCAGGTGAGGACAAACTATGAAATAAAATTCAACTGGTATCCTGCATGGTGGCACGTGCCTATAATTCCAACACTCAGGAAGTAGAGTCATGAGCTACATGAGACCCTGTCTCAAAAGACTAAAACAAAGTAAGCAATTCTTGTAAGACTAATCTCTAACATATATCACTAAAAGATGCACATAATAATCATGCCAATAACTTTAATGATTCTGCACATGGTAACTTCCTAAAACTAACTATGCTAGGGGCTGGAGAGATGGTTCAGCGGTTAAGAGTGCTGGCTATTCTTGCAGAAGACCTGGGTTCAAATCCCAGTACCCACATGGCAGCTAACAACCATCTGTAACTCCAGGTCCAGGGAAATTGGATGCCTTCTTCTGACCTCCACAGGCACTGCATGACACAGGTTCATTTACAAACATGCACACAATACATGCATACACATAAAACAAAAATAAAGCAAAAAACAAACTATGCTTGCCCACATCCCCAACTAGAGTGTATTTCAAAACTGTATCTTGACATCCTACATCTCTGGTCAAGTCAGTCACTCCTCCTCACTCCTGAACTTCATGTGATTACATCAAAGTTACTAAGATATGACCAAAACAAAACTGCAGACAAGCCCCATCATTTTTTTGGTATTTTCAATGATTTATTCATTTTATGATTTAACTCCAATGAAGTAATAAGCTACATTGATGAATTTAACTGCAGGTCTTTAGACCAAATACTCCCAATTTTGCTCTATAAAATACTAAACATATGTGATAAAGTTCTTGAACCCTTCAGCCATGCTCAGAACACTGCAGTGTAGGGATGAACTTAACCTGTTAGTAGGTTAGGATGACAGAACTAAGGAACTAGACTGTCTAAAGAATCAGTCAGAGTCTGATTTTTTTTAAGAGTCTGATTCTTTTAGACAAAGACTTGATTTGGTTCCCCCACACCAAAGTGCTAAGCTTAAAATGCAGCCTGTTCTGTTCCTGAGAGGCTGAAAAGGTCAGGCAAGCACCATGCCAGTAAATCCCAGCACTCAGGAAGCTGAAGTAGGAGGATCACATGTTCAAGGGTGGCCTGGGCTATACAGAAAGACCCCACCTCAAAGAGAAAAAAAGCTGAAAAGGTCAATGTTATTTAAAAAAAAAAAAAAAAAAACACACAAGTAGGGGATTTTCCATTATATTTTTCATCTAAACTGGAAAATGAAAAACTCCAAAAATCTTAAATTAGGGCAAAACAAAGTTTTTTGACGAAAAACAAACACA